ATTTTATCACTTATAAATAATTATTTAAATATTTTTTTTATTATAAATATTTAAATTTTTGACACAAAAATTAAAATTTTCATAGCTTTTAAAAATTGAAAAATCCAGATTGATACTTTGATTGAATGTAATGAAACATCTACTTATAGAAAATGGCTAGAAATCTACTTCTTAAAGGTTCTAAATTTATTGCAAAAATAAAATAATCACTAATTATCTCATCAAGGTTTACACGTTGCAACAAAGCATTGTTTATAAAAGTTTCAATCAAGTAATATTGAAAAATTTGCGTAACATTTAAAACCTATATGGTTTTTGGGTTGAAATTGTCAATATCCTAATGTATGTGGCAAAAAAAATTTCTACTATTGTAATCAAATATCATTTGAATAGAAACACAAACATATGGCTTATGATTGTTTGAAAATTGTTTATTGTAGAAGTCAAAATTTGAAAAATTTGAAAAGACCAAATTGGATCTTACATACTAGAATTGTAATCTTTTTTGATATGTTGATGGCGAGAACGATTACATGCTATAAGATCTAGTAAGCTATAACATTGTTGTTTGTTGATATGTTTCTTCTAATGAGTACATTCATTGAGTTAAAAAAAAGTTAGACTCTTGAATTTGATAAATTTCACATCTACTCTCACACGTATTGTTGAAATTTTCTTTGATCATTATGAATACTATGATGTGATATAAAAAGAAGCTTCAATAAAAATGGAGCAAATTCGTGAAAAGCACAAATTGAAGTAGCAAATTTGTGTTGATGAATCTTAAACCACTCCACTAGACAATCTAGATCAACTTGAATATTCTTCTAGTATATCATCAAATCAAATTAATTCTACAAGGTATGAAATATGGGTTGATTTTTTCATTCTTAAAGATTGTGATTTTGAGTGCGAGTATGATGATGGCAATATTGATGTTAGAAGAATGATAATCTTTGTATTGTAGAGAAGTTCAAGAATCTATGAAAAACATTAAATGAAGAACTGCTATGAAACGTGAGATGCAATTGCTGATAAATAACAAGAAGTTAAATCTAATGAGTCTTTAAGGAACTCAATCTTTGATCAATAACAAATAGATGAACAAACTAAAGTATAATCTAGCAATGATAAGAAGTGAATCTTCAAAGTAACGTTGATGGTAGGATATAAAGATATGCACTTTGACAAACTTTTTTCACCTATGAAGAAGTATACCACAATTTGATTAGTATGTTCAATTGTTATAATACTTAGTCTGAGTATGATTTAAACATATGTGGTTAGAAAAATTTCTATACATCTTTGAAAAAGAGTTTTTATTCAAGTCAATGAGCTGGATGTGAAAAGAAATGCTAAAAAAAAATTGATATTTAGATTGTTGAAATTAAAATTGAAATAAGCTTTTATGCAATGGATAGCAAGATTGATGAATTCATAAAAGCACAAGAATTTTCACTGAATATATGTGATTCATGTGTATACATAAAATATATAAATATTGATATCTTCTTGATCTAAGATCCTACAAGAATGATATGTTTATTTTGGCAAAAATTTAATTTAACGACAATAGATGCAAGATTCAATTGAAGTTTGCATTAGACTAAAATACATGACTATATAAGGAATGTATGTTCATAGAAATTTTTTTAAATTATATGCTATGATTAAATCAAGGCAACTACATTCAACATATGCTTGAATTATTTAATATGATTGAAATAATATGGGATTTGTTGACAATTAACTTCAAATTTTTTGCAACTCAGAGTTCAATTGATGTCATTGAAAAAAAATACTATCAATTTCATTGCAATGAAAAATAGATAGCATCGTAAATCTGATGGTTAGCTATCAGCAATTACATATCAAATCTATGAAAGATACATTAGTAAAACATGAAACGGATTTTTAAATACCTCAAGAATATTAAGTACGATAGTTCATTAGACAATGTTAAATGCTTGCTGGTATGCGTTGATGCTAATTATGGACAAAATTTGAACAAGAAAAAATCTATACATGAACATGTGTTTACACTTGATGATGGATGTATAAGTTGAAGAATCACTTTGCAAAAAAGTGTAATTCAATTCACAACGGAAGCTAAATATGTAACAACAACAAAAATAACAAAGAAAACTTTTTGTATGTACTTATTATTAAGATGTGATTGCAACATGAAGTTGTCAAATTGCGTTACATCTTGTTGCAAATCAAGTGATGTACTTCATAGTGAAATACATCAACATCATGTATCACCTTATCAATGATATAATTTTTTACAAGAAGATTTAACAAGTCAAGATTGAAGATAAATACAATCTAGTTGAAGTGTTGATCAAAGTTTTCATTTAAAGAGTTTATGGAAACACTCCCATAATTTGCAAGTTTTGCATGAGGAACACAAGAAATTTCACGCAATCTTTTTGTTTCTATTTATACTTTTTAATATACATCAAAATCAAATAAGTTGTTAAATAAAAATTGTGTACAAGTTTGATCTTTTGTAAAAATTCAAAATGATATTAATTATGTATTCAAAATTAGTTATCTAAAATTTTACATGCATTGAATTTGACACATATGATATATGATTCAATTTTTGGAGATTACATAAATAAAGTCACACAAAGATACATAATGGTTGAAACTCAAGAAATCATAAAGTGCTTTCATAAATCTAATAGTGATGTCTAATCTAACCATCATCTAACTAACATAAAAGTTTAAGTACAAATAATCAAAACCTACAGGTAAGTTTTAAAATTGACTAGGCGTAGAGTTGAATCTCAATGTATCACAAAGAGCTTCCAAAATTTCTCATCCATAGTTAAAGGAGCCAGCAGCTAACAAAATTTTCAATTTAAATACAATTCAAATATAGTTAGTCCAAATCTAGAATTAAATAGAAAATTAGACTTGGAGTAGTATATATAGATATTATTGTTGCTTCATGATGTTTTTGAGAGTTGACATTCCACTCTCATTCATAGTAGATATGTGGAAAGTCAGAAACTAAGGTTTTCAAGCATCAAGATATGCCAAGAAGTCAGGTTTCTTTGTTTAGCTTAGAAATTACTTGGAACTATGGACATCAAGTTTTACATGTTAATGTGAGTGTTCAAGAGCTTATAGTACTAGATGGCATGAGACATCACTTTCTTTGGCCTATTCATAGCTCCACGAATAGCAACAATGAGTATAATCTATAGGAGGAAAAACATGTCAAATGATGAGTCTTTTAACCTAGATAGTTCAATATATTTGACTCCATAGAAAATACTATACTACTAAAGCCTAGCCCATGTCACCCCTTTTCGTTTATACGTGTGATATGTTATAAGGTTTAACTATACCTTTGTTATTTTACTCTGTGTTGTTCTCTTTCTGAACAATGTATTCCCGTGACGATTTACTTGGTGAATGCAGGGCTATGCCAAATACATGTTAATTTCTCCAGTGTTAATCCGTTCATAGTGCTGAACCAGACACATTATATCACTCATCTCTCCATGCTTGTCTATGGGATGTTCTTTATCATCTGCACTGAAACAGGGCAAGTCCTGGTTCAGCCTTTCGATGACAGAATGGTACAAAAATCTAGCAATACAGTAGTAGAACACTACAGGAGGAGTTATATCTACCGTGATTAAGGCTGAGTGCACGGATCCCCGTTGGCGTTCCGAAGGCAAAAGGATGGCAAGGTGTTGCAGACGTAGGGCAACAGGTTTGTGACCTCTGTGCCAATTGTACCAACTGTATTTTTCCTCTTCTGCAGAAAGCGGAAAAAATACCTGCCGTGAAGCACAGAATGTCAGAGTTCAGAAGGACACATGTGTGGGTAACGTGGTTGGTCAGTGGATTCTGCAGTTTCTAACACCCAGCTGGACCTCTTTGAGCAAGTACCAGATAGTTCCAAAATTGGAGGAGGGGTGATCTGGCTTGCTCTAGACACAATGAACGGTTGAAGGTCAAACGTGGCAACACTGGAGAGATGGGCTGCACGCACAGCTGGTAAGAGGCGAAAAAGGCATGTCAGACTTTGTCTCTTCGAATTCTTCCCTAATGTCCGTTGGGTCACAAGGATGATTATTCTTCATATGATGAAGGAAAAGTTGGACGACCTCTTCTCACTTTACTTTCATCTCTGACTGTCTTGACTGAGTGTGTGACCAGGGAGATCAACGGATACTTGAAAGGAACAACTTCGATCCAACACTACTGACAGCTCGCTTTCAGCAAAAGGCACCTGCGTAGGTGCTCCTACAAGCATGAGCTGGAGCAGCAAAATCTAGGCCACTTGAATCGCTCTACCTGGAACCCAGTCTACAAACCACTGTAACTTCTTAGCAATGAGACAATTCACTTCAATATCTTACCGCTTTACCACATTATTATCTACCGGGAAAAAGCCAGTGAATGAGAACCTGATTTACATTACAATATTATCTCTCGTGTAGGTTTACAATCAAATCGATTTTCACCGTCTCTGGGTAGTGACTTTCTGTCATATGATTGCGTACAATCGACAGAAAAAAGGAGGCGAGAAATCGAAACCGATTGGATGTGTTTGAAGGAGACGGGGGCCAAGACCAAGACCAAGACAATGATGAGTTTTAAGAGAACTCAAAGGCTGAACCCAACTGTAGCTGTTATGCACTTGCACTGATTCTATCACCTTCGCTCAACTCAAATCCTTGAACTGAAACGCTCTTCCGCCCTAAAAGGGATGAATAGACTGAAATGTAAAAGCAGAGTCTCCGAACATTCACCCCACTGAACGTTCGTTTCATTTTGCAAACTTCAAACCGGTGGTTACGAAGAGCACATCATACATGCTGATTTCAAAGACAGACAAAACTGTCTACTTTGATAAGTGGTGTAAGTGCTATATACTCAACCGGGAACGAGATCGAGAAAGCATCCACTTTAACATGATGGAACCAACACTATGGTTTCATAACCATGACTTTCAAACTCTTTCCTAAATGAGACGGAGGCGACGTGTAGCATTTCTTATCAGTTTATTCTCCAATGACATGGCAAATATCCATGCCAAAACCACACTCACATTAAGCTGCACCCGTGAGAAGCTCAAGAGTAAGCAAACTAAAAACTTCTTTGTCAAACCAAAGGCCAGTATATAACAGGTGGTATTGAGAAACGCAGGCCTGCCGTATTCGACCGAGAGGAGCGTTACTCCCCAAAAAATCTAGTTTTACAAGTGGTCAAATGATGGCTAATTGGCTTGACCTGAAGCATAGATGTCAAGGTAAAGAATACGTATTAATTTTAACTGTGATTGCTCGAAGCACAGTCACTACGCTTGCAGTGTTCACCAGATTTTAAGTGACCCGTGCTGACATGCTTCATGATTCTACTAGTGTTGTTGTTGATCCTGCAGAGACATCCCACAAAAGTGAAATCAATCAAATTGAGAGCATGTGAACGATTCTGGAATCGAAATTTATTTCAGCGGCATAAAAACTGAAGTAAGTAATACAAGAAAATGATCAGAATACAAAAGGTGCAGTTGCTAAACTTACCTTGAATTGAAAGGAATTTGATATGGAGCTGAATGCGTCCCAAGTTGTAGATAAATATAAGTTGACGTCATCTTCTTGCAACACGGAAGAAACCTACCCCTTCAACACAAGAGAGAACAGGACACCATATCTCCAAGAATTTTGGGACTAAGAATTAAAGAATGTGTATGTGTGTGTACAGCCTCATCTGGGCATAGCCTTCCTTCACCAAGCATAACAGGTTCTATCTCTCCGCTGCCAATCAGTGTCTGTGTGCAAATAAAGCCTTTCTGTTGGATTGATATTTATCTCTTGGAATAGCTCTGTCTTCTTTGATGTCCTGGAGAACTTTTTGTACCCATCTCTTCTTGTCGTTGAGACCTGCAAGATGTACCATGAAATCACCTTTGGCGTATACACCTGCAAAAACATTCGCATCCAAAATGTATCAGAATTTCACAAAGACTGCTATCGACGATAGTGTTTTTCCATCACTCAGATGTATTTATAGCTTCTGGTTCTCTAATTTGTGAGGTCCGGACAATTATCCTACTTGCTGATGTACCAATCTCATCCCATCGAATCATGGGAGACATGTGATTTGCAGGTAAACGAGGATGTTTATCTGACGTTGCCACGTTTTCCGTCAAAATCACCTACCTTGCCAAATCATCCTGGTGAATGTTACAAGTCGATGACTGTTCCTCCAAGAAGGTCTCCACAAGTTCGAATTGAAGACGCACTGCATAGGGGGGATCCGTACGTGTTCCCTTCTCTCTGCTTCAGGCATGGTAGCAATAATATGTTTTAAGGCGCTATTGTCCCCACTCTTACAGAGTCCAAAGGGCTCCACAAAAGACGTTTGATTCCACCAGAGATCCAAAAAATTTCTGCTCCACTCTGTATTTCTCATGAAGAACATGCCTGCGAAACAAATGAACATTACATTTAACACAAAGAAGGAATTGGCTCTCCTGGATGTCCACAGCGTGTTGAATTAAAGCTGAACAAATTGGCATCAAGGCGCAACCTCATGATTGTAAATTTCAACAAATCCTGATCTTGCCCACAATTAACTCACCAGCATTCACACCAGTGACATCTTTCGTAACAATCAGATCCGGCATATGTTCCCAATCTACATCCCCAACAATTGAATCGATGATACCCTCCTGTGAAATCAGTGTACCAAAAAGTTAGAATGCCCTAGTATGATCTATATTACAACTTCAACTGGAAATTAGAGTTATATCCATATACTACAATATATTTGATGTGATTGACATGGGTGTTTTTTTTACACCATTTGGCTCAGTATGTAAAGAAGTCAGTTGGCATTTCTTGATAATATTGCACCGTGCTCCTCACAACATAAAATTTGAAATATGAACTTACAAGAGTTATGGACGGATTTGTCACGACAGAGTCCTGTAATGATACAGATACAAAGTTGTGAAGCACGATTAGTAAAAAAAAAACTTCGCAAACCAGCCAGCTCAGAATCTCAAGGACTACCTCTAAATTCCAGACATTTGTTCCTCAACATCTGGAAAAAAATTCAGAAACCTAGGTGAAGGAAAAAATCAGCATCCAAAGAAAAATTCGCTCTACAGAGTTCACTGCCGAATAATTCCAAACAACGGAGAATTCAAAGATAATTTATCGATCAAATTATTCAAACTGCCTACGGGTAGTTATTAATGCTTACCAACGGGTGCTTAAACCAACAAGTATCATGAAAACTAGCAATCCTCTCAACAGGTGGTGCCACAGTCAGTGGAAAATTGCATGGAGAAGAACATACCGCATCGTTCCAGAAGACCCATTCATAGTTGGGCAAATGTTTCTTCATGGCTAGAATCTTACTCCAGCTTGGAGGACGGTTCCTGTCCAACACATCACTGGCGTCGATGAAGTCGTAGCCATGTCGCTCGACGTAGCTCTGCTTGTTCGGAGTAACCAGATCCATCAAACCTTCAAATGATCTGTGTGGGATAGTTTTTGAACCATCCGAGCACGTAACCATAGCGAAGTGGTACTTCCTTGGAGTATGCGACCTCTCTCTCATATCGAGACACTGACGTCCCAAGTGATTAGCTCTAAGCAAGAGCACCCCTGATCCATGGATGAAAAGCACTGTGGACAACATCAGACTAAACACAATGATAAGCACCACTCTGGCGAAACTTTTCGAAGAAGACCACCAATTATGCCTCGTGTCCGTATCCTTGAACGACGTTAGATGCTCCAAACAGGCTCCGTCCCTGAGGTCAGCTCTTACATATGAATCTCCAACAAGTATGAATTGCTCAGAATCTCCACCCTTCGTAATGCGCCTCTGGGGACACAGCCCCGAGAGCGCAGCCATAGTACGCGGGGTTGCCAAACTCCGGCTCACGCCAGCAGACTGTGCCTGTCTTCCAAATGGTGACTTGGCCACTGTACCTCGTTGGACTCCTTCTGTGACTCCCTCTCCCGGGCACTTGAAGGTTGCCCTCTGAGATTTATTACGAGAAAATCTGCTTCTAGGGGACTGAACAATTCCCGAAATGTTGACAGTTTTGATACATATAAGAGGATCCGTGTCACCACCAGTGCCCAACTGGAGTATGGTTGTTGTAGATGTGCGCAAGGTGATTTCACGAGGAATACTGGGACAGCACGGGCTAGACAGAACTAATGGCCGGACGATCTATCTATTTCAATGATGTGATGTTAACAAATAAAACCGAAAGTGGATGATGGCGTCGGCGCTTAAATGACTGGGAGGACGAGGAAGCTAGAGCCAGATCTCAACAGAATGAACCTCGCTAGTAAGTAGAAGCATGAAACTACTTCTTCTGGAAGGCACGCCCAGAAGAGAAACACCAGACCAACCTCGATCAAGCTGTTCCTTCTAACCACCCGAAGCGTACCGGTGCCTCAATTGGTAGAACAGAAGGATACGTTACTTTAGCATTGAGGTTCAAATACAGCCAAAATGTGCGGACAGGCACTTCTGAGCAGTTGCAGAAATGTAGTGATGTGGAAATGCTCAGTGCACCGCGCTGCGTACATTGACACTTGCCAGTCTATTCTCGATCTACATGGATAGAACTGAGGTGAAAGGAACGGCTATCCTATATCAGCCAGGTTTTCGGCCTCTGCGCTCAATATATATATTTCCCAGAGGTCCTCTCTACGACTGTAGAATGCTCCCGCAGGACTTCCCTTTCCTCAAGAAAGTAGCCTGCCTCAAGACAGTAGGTGCCGAGAAGGATCGCCTCCGCATCAAAACGTCGACGAAGAATGAAAGACGCCTGTGAACGAGAGCTGCTTCTGGAAGCCTCGTAGCAGGTACAGAGAATAATCCTGCGATTGACTGATAAAGAAGCTTTCTCGAGGGACCAAATCTGCCGGAGGAAACATATATTGCGAGCAAGAGCACCAGAACTTCCTCGGATCGGGTCGGGCAGAAAAAGAGAAGCCGGTAGAGAGAGCGAGAGATCGAAGTCAGAGAGATAGAGAGAGAAATGGAAAGAAAATAGAGAAGAAAAAAAAAACTATCGGAGGAAAAAAACAAGCGACCTGTCACTCGACCTACCCTAGGTTCCCACGACAGCGCGGGCGGAGAAGAAAACGAGAGAAGAAAAGCTAGACAATGAGATAGAATTCCACGCCCCCCAGTCCGATTCGACGGAAGACAGGAAGGCAGAAGCAAGCAGAAAAAGGCCTTGAGACAAAGTGCCGGAGAAAGCAGAAATCGCTAGCGGCAAGGGCAAGGCTCCGGGGGAAAGGAAGAAGAAGCGAAAGAGCCAACCAGCCAGCTAGAAAGTCGTTCCTGCTGCGAGTATTTTGGAGAGTTTCTTTCCAACACTGCACATGCGTTCCTGTCTCCGCTCCTCGCCTCTCTTCAACCTTCCTCCCGTCCTGCCTGCCTCCCTGCCCGCAACGCGAGCACCCACCTCCCCAACAATTGCTCTCTCTAGTCGTCGTCGTCAGTCTCTCTTTCCCATTTCTTCTCTGTTCTGTTCTGCCTGTGTCGCTCGCCCTGCCTGAACCCACCCGAGCCCTGAAGCCCTGAGCCCTCCCCCTTCCCCTTCCCCTGCCCCTCCCCTGCCCTGCCAGCCCAGCCCGCCAGCAAGCAGTCAAGTCCACTTCCACCTGCGAGATTGCAGTGCCAAACCTCCGGCGATGGCGGCCACGCACGCGCTTTCACGCGGCACTCTCTCCCTGGCCACTTTCCGCTTCTCGGTCTCGCTCTCGCTCTCTCTCTCTCTCCCTCTCGCAGACAGACAGATAACAGCCGGACATCTCGTCTCGTCGCTATGCTCGCCCCGGGCTCCGCTATTCCGGGCCTGCCCCCAGCTCACCCAACAAAGCGTCTCCGGAAGAAAAGACCGCAGACAAATCCTGGAATAAATGACGGAATTAACAACGATAATAATAAAAACGGAAATGTTGTGGGAATTTACTGCCGCAGGCTCGCTCCACCACCACCACCACCAACACCACGAGACGACGAGAGGCAGCGCCGGGCAGCACTGACGCCGAGAGACCGATGGTGCATCAGCACCGGACGAGCCGGGACGGGACGGGACGACCCACAGATCCTTGCTGCTCCAGCAGCAGCAGGACCAAGAGCTTCGGCACCAGCACAGCTCACAGTGGGCCCCGCCCGCGCCCTCCCCGAATTTCCGAGCTCGACTGCGGCAGTTCTACCACGTTGTTTCTATCTGTAATGCAGCGTCGCCCGTAGTATGGGCCGGGCGGCCGCCTGCGTTAGAAGTTGACTCGACTAACGGGCCGCCCCCGATCGCCACTCGACCGCATGAACGCTGCGAGCGCCGTGGAATGCCATATCTTTGTGTCACGCGTACAGAAAAAACCCCGTCCGCCTCCGACTCGGACTTCGTCCGGGAGACCCAGCAAATGTTTTGTGGGCCCCGCCGGTTGATGATGTCCTGCCAAATATCCGAGGCCTTTGTTTAAATGTCGGCCATTGATTTTTCTACATGACCGTATTTAATGGCATGTGTCTACCCGTACAATCGGTAGATTGACCGTATTGTAAAAGTGTATCCGGCTTACCCTGCCGTAGTACCGTTTGATACAGACTAGACCGAAATGCGACTCAAATGAACTGTCAAATGAGGGATTTGTCAATTATTGATCCTTGTAGGGAAGGTACATTCGCAGCGAACCGTTGCGGGGGCTCGGCTCTACAGACCGGTAGCCTACTGGAGGAGGAGACGTGAGTGGAGGTAGGAGTGGGAGTAGTAGCTACACTCGGAACATGCATGCATGGGAGCCAGACCAGACGAGCCGGCCGATGTGTAAAATTCTCTTCTAATTACATGACACATGGCCTTCAAATTTCGCGAATGCTCCAAAAGAAAGCAATGTTTTTCGTCTTTTTGTGTTCTCTCACTTCCTTTTGGGACTCTGGATTACCTGTGATGTTCTTATTCATTACTCTAAAGAATTTACTTTTGATTCCCGGGTCGTGCAATGACACGACTGTCTTTCGGATATCTTCGTCCTTCAGGAACAGGATGCATGCCACCTCTCCGTTTCATGCTTTCTTGTGTTGCTATCAACCGAAACCACGAAGGAAAACCGAGTAATATAGCGAAAAGGGATGGGCATACCGCCTCGAGTCGTACTGGAATGAACCCAAAGGGGTAGGACCACCACCAACCGAATATCAGTCTCTTCCACCATGAACGGATTGGAGTTGAGAATATGGATAGAATCAACAGTCGACGTCAATGGTGCCCTCCGTCCATGTCTCTTACGTATAACCCGATTTGGATAATCTATCCGGCGATGTTAAGCAGAAACGCTCCACGTTTTTCCAATTTCGTCTCACTGTTATGCTGGAGCGAGAGAACGTGGCATGAAAGGGTCATCATGTATTTATTTGCGATACAATTTATCTGTACCCTTTGCACTTTATCTTCTAATTACTTGAAGCAACATGTAAGGGTAATTTAATATTCACATCTACCTTTTTGGAAAAACTATATTATAACGTAGAATACTCCATTTGGAAACTACACAGATCATGATATTCCTATACAGTACTCTTGATGACATATTTTCCGACCATGTGTCAAAAAAATATGCTGTTACTTACTCTCGGGACTGGAAGAAAATAAACACAACAACATGCTCATAACCAATCACATAAAGAAACAGAGATAATATTACATGACAACCGTGGAACTTGGGCAATTCGAAATCTCAAGTTCTCAAAAATTGGTCCGACATTCCAGCAACCTCATAAAATAAGAACATTCTTAAACTAAACTTTTATCGAATCTAGAAAAGTACACTGCAAGAAGTTGAAACAGTTGAAAATTTAGCTTGATTTATTTTTTCTCACAATAGATCGCAGATGATAGAATAATCAATTAAATAATAAATTGTGGTCCTTCTGGTTTTACCCATTCAATTTGTAATGCCTAACATCTATTCAAGTAGGTCTTTTTTCCTTTTTTAATATAAGATAGACGACTTAATCTTCATCCTGTGAAATGAAATTATGAATAAATCAATTATTGATACATCATGTATTTTCATTAATATTACACAATTATTGCCATAAAATAACAACAAAAAATGTAGTCAAAAATTTATCATCCATGATAGATAGTACGGACAATCCATTTTGATTTTGGATCTCATCCAAGATGACTAAACATTTCAATAAAAAAATACTTTCATGCATATAATTTCTTATATACTTTGTATTTCAATTATAAATTTCAAACACAATGATCGTTAAACAAGACAAAATGGCATACTAAATTTGAAGTTTTTAAATGATTGTTCAACACTTTCTTTTAATCATCTCTGTCCATGAAATCTCAATGAGCAAAGTTAATACAAATGAGAAATATAGAAAACTATGTCATCATCATGGTACTGTAATTTGAAAAAAAACGGTGAAATGATCTGATGTTTCATTTTCATTATCGATAAGAATGACAAATGATATTATGTGTGTATTTGTATATTGATAAAAATTATTCACATTGATTTTGTATGATAATATTTTAATTAATTTTTATATATATAGAATGAAAAGTTTTGATTGTGTTAGATTTTAGAAGCAGTCAATTAAGAAACAAATTTTAATGCAATCAATAAAATTATCCAAATCACAAAAATAGGATCATTTGGGGAAAAAAATATTACTAAAATTTTAATACCAATTCAAATAAATATAGACTAAATACTTATGATTTGAATCACAAATAATTGTTCGATTATTATTTCTTCAAATAAGCTCATGGCTGAATGAAAAAATACACTTGAAGATCATTGAAAGATATATTTATATTTTGCTCCATAATCATGAATAATTGCATATACTATTTTGTTTCATGAATTAATTGTGTAATTTTGTAATTTTGTGTAATTTTGTTATTTGTAATTTTTTCATGAAATAATTTATTTTTTTTACAATGACTACTTCAACAACAATAAAGTGAACACTTGTTTGAAAATCCACTTACAATTTTTTGTATACATTGTGAATATAATATTATATTATATCAGAAAATATAGCTCATAAGAACTTTGTTGCAATCTTACAAAATTATTGCACATTATATCAACGAGGTTAGAAATTTCATCTTTTTGATACATAGTCGTCAAGTGATGTCTTATAAATTTTTTTGAAATATATGATATATAAAATAATAAATTAAATTTATTTATATATATGAAAAATAGTTTTAGATAAATGATGAATAACGTATGTTTAATGTGCATAAAAGCATTATTAGTTTAATATGTTGATAATAATGTGTATAAAATAAAGCCTAATTTTGTAATAACCAACCATATGCATGTGATACTTGTGATGAATAATTTGTGAATAAAAAAATCTACTTAAAAATGACAAGTAAAATGAATATTTATTTATTTATACCATATATAAAATATTTAAATTTGGTAAATCTCACAGAAATAAATTTTTTTCATACAGAAAATTTATGTTATATTGAATGAATAAATTCAATATTGAGATCATTTTTTTTTAAGAACACTCATGCACATGATTTACTAATATAAATGCTTTCAATTGTCACTTGTAAGACAAAGCAATTCGGATGCAAATTTAAAACTCCACAATGTTAAAAAGATTGTTATAATCTAATGTCTACACATCAATTGTATTTCAACATGATTGATTTATCAATTCAGAAAATTTCTATTTATAATGGTTTCATTATGAAAACTGTAATATTAAATATTACAGATTTAAAATGCTATGTTTTTACTAATTTTTTCGACATGAATAAATTTGTCATTTGTGAAGAGGTTTTACACTCAGATATTTATTATCAATATACACTCAAGCAAAGTTTTCAAATTTAATTATCCAAAAAAGGTGACGAAATTTTTTTTTTCAAATAATTTAGATTAATTTTTTTTCTTGTGTAATATCATGTTTAAATTACTATTTAAGTGATATTTGAAATAAATTTTTTAATAAAAATATAGATTTGAAATTTAATTATTATCAATGAGATCTAATTTCGTTAAAAAGAAAACAGTGATTTGAAATTCTCATTTTAGTAATTAGAAGGTTTGTAAAACAATTTGGCAATTTTTTAAATAAATTTTTTATTTATAATAAGGTAAATGATAATTAAAAAATAAATATTATTTATAATATTATCCAATTGATTTAGAGAATAATTTATCAAAATATAAGATATTGAAAATTATTTTAAAAACTATTATGTTTATGTTTTAAAAGATCAGATATCTGTAAAAATATAAAAAATATAAGACATTATTTAAAAAATATTTATAGTCTTAGCTTGTTTCCTCATTAATTTCATCAAAATACTTCTTGATTTAAAAAACTCGTGCAGACATTTTCAGCTAATTTACTTGTATTTTAAATACTTTGACATATTTAACTTTGTGATTTTTTGATCTAAGCACCTCCTACTCCTTTTGGTTTCAACTTAGGAAGTGATGTGCTGTAACCATCCTTTGGGCTATATAAATCTCTTTCGGTTATAAAGAATGTATAACAAAGGTGATGAGTTAGCTCGACCGGGCTGCGGTAGCAGGTTCTGCTCGTCAAGGTACAGTATAGCAAACAAGAAGACAAAGGGAAGACCCTTGGATAATCACATGGATAAACGACCTTGTATTTCTGTGTACAATCAAACAGTACAGTTGTGTGCAAACTAGGCAGGGCT